GCAGCTCCCGCCCGGAGCCGGAGCCGGAGCCGGAGCCCGAGGACCGCGCGGCCGCCCCGGAGGCCGGGGACCACGAGGTCTGGAGATCGCGGGCAGCGCGGAGCCAGAGGAAGCGAGCAGCCGCCGGGTCTGAAGCCCGGAACCCACAGCCGGGAACCCGCAGCCGGGAGTCCAGAGGCGAGCAGCGCCCAGAGCCCCGGGCGGGCGGCGCAGCCCGGTCCGGTCCGGTCCCGGTCCAGCGCTCCCCGGCTGGACGGCGCGCCCCTCAGCTCGGCACCCTCCCGGCCGGCTACTCTTCGTGTGTCGCCGCCGGAGGCGCTCCCGCCCTCAGCCCGACTTCGCGCACCGGAGACCGAGACAAAGCCGGGACCCGGCTGCCCACCATGCGCCTCAACAGCTCCGCGCCTGGCACCCCCGGAGCGCAGGGCGCCCAGCCCTTCCCGCCGCCGCAGACCGGGCTGGAGGAGGCGCTCCTGGCCCCGGGCTTCGCTAACGGCTCTGGCAACGCGTCGGAGCCCACCCTGGAAGCGCCCGGCAGCGAGCTGGACGTGAACACCGACATCTACTCCAAGGTGCTGGTGACCGCGGTGTATCTGGCGCTCTTCGTGGTGGGCACGGTGGGCAACGCGGTGACTGCTTTCACACTGGCGCGCAAGAAGTCGCTGCAGAGCCTGCAGAGCACGGTGCACTACCACCTGGGCAGCCTGGCGCTGTCCGACCTGCTCATCCTGCTGCTCGCCATGCCGGTGGAGCTGTACAACTTCATTTGGGTGCACCACCCCTGGGCCTTCGGGGACGCGGGCTGCCGCGGCTACTACTTCCTGCGGGATGCCTGCACCTACGCCACGGCCCTCAACGTGGCCAGCCTGAGCGTGGAGCGCTACCTGGCCATCTGCCACCCCTTCAAGGCCAAGACGCTCATGTCCCGCAGCCGCACCAAGAAGTTCATCAGTGCCATCTGGCTGGCCTCGGGGCTGCTGGCCGTGCCCATGCTCTTCACCATGGGCCAGCAGAACCGCAGCGCGGACGGCCAGCACCCCGGGGGTCTGGTGTGCACACCCACCGTGGACACGGCCACCGTCAAGGTCGTCATCCAGGTGAGGGCCTCTTCCAGGGAGAAGGGGGGGGAGGAATCGAGGCCCTTCCCTTTGCCTCATCCCCACAGGGGTGTGCCCCCCAGTGCCCAGAGCTGAAGAGAGGGCGCTGGGAGGCCACTTGCGGGTGGCTAGAGGGGCACCTCAGGGCAGCTTGACCCTTTTTCCCACTTCTCACTCCCGGGGCAGGTCCCCCCTTCTACTGAAGGGAGCCAGAGCCGTAATCAGGGAGCTCTGTGGGATCCATGCGAGCCCGAGTACGCTTTCCAAAGGAGGGGTCCCTTCATAAGTTCTCCGAGGGCTTTGTGCCCCCAGAGGTTACACTCCTGTCCTCTGGGGCAGAGCCCCTGTGTGGCTTCCCAGTGCCTCTTGGCTGCCCTGCCCCACCCCAAGCCTGGGGATCGGCTGCCATCTTGGTTCCTAGTTCAGCCAGTTCTCTCACTAGCAAAGCAAGTGATCATAACATTGGCCTGAGAAGGCCTGGCGACAGCCGTGGGGAGGTCTGCAGATTCCTGGGCTCGGGGCCTCACAGAGCGTCATTGCTGCTGCTGGTGGCAGTGTCTGGGAAGACTGTGGGGTGTGTGGGTGTGGAGGGGCGTGGTGTGACTCGAATTTGAACTGAGTGGCCAAGGACCCTGCTGGGGTCTGAGCAGAGCTCCTGAGCACCCTGCTGAGGGTCAGCTTGGACAGAGTACCTGGCAAGATGGGGGTCAGCACTGGAGGGAGCCTGGTCAGGCAGGGACCCCAAGATCGGCAGAGGGTGTCCACGAGGAAGTAGGGGCAGAGAAAGCTCTAGGACTTGGGCAATCTGGAGGGTGTAGCATTCCTGCAGCCCAAGGTAGGTAAAGAAGGCAGAAGGTCAAAGGGCAGGAGCTGGGCAGGGTCTCTGCGCTGTGCCGTACCGGCAGGGAGGCAGCCAGTGGTCCCCATCTGGCTGGCCCTCCCCACTCCAAGCCCTACGGAGTCTCTCAGCAGACTCCTGCGTTCACCTTAAGAGCTTCAGCTTGACAGTTGCCAGGCCTGGGAGCAGACCGTGCTGGGAGGGGGTGTCACCTGTCTGTCAATCCCTGGGCATGTCTGACCCTCCCCTGGCCACCTCTGCAGTGGGCCGCGGGGGCAGAAATACACGTGGTGCTGCTGGCCTGCACGTAGAACTCAGGCTACAGGTGCCCTGTGTGGGGCCCTGAACAGGCTCGGAGCAGGAGTGCGTCAGAGCACCGCTCCTCCCGAGAGTCCCTCCTGTACCACAGGCTACCGGCAGATGCAGACAGGGCCCCATGTGTGGTAAACAGTGAGAAATCACCTTCCCCGCTCCCTTTAGGGCTCATTTTTCTTTGCCCAAGCTCCTGTCTTTGATCATCTTTGCCCAGGGAGGATGCTCCAGCACGTGGTTGCGGGGGAGCAGCCGCTCTGCGGCCCTCCGCGGTTTTGCCTGACAGCTCAGGTGGGCCACAGCCCCTCAGGAGCCGCCTCCTCTCAGCCCTGTCCCTCTGGCCCCCTGGCTCTGGGTCCTTTTCCAACATCAACAACAGATGGGGGCAGGGGAGGCCACTCAGCCCCCAAGTGTCCCCCCCTCCCGTGGCCCATAGTGTGGCACTTCCGGGCAACACCCCTTTGCCTCCCAAAGTGCTATCTGTCTGGCCCACTGCTCAGCAGCCCCCAGGCCGGTTTGGCGAGGGCTTGGTCATCTGACCCCTGAAGAATGTCTGTTGAGCACCTACCCTGGGACAAGCGCCTGTTCTGTGGCAGACAGTGCCGGTCAAGCATTTCCCGACACTTGCTGGCATCCCTTGGGCCCTCAGAAAACGTAGCTTCCATTTTTATTTATTTATTTATTT